GACAAGCGATGCTTACACTAGCCAACACAGCAGCAGCAGCAAAACATCAAACCGCAGCAGCTGCAGCTGCTGCTGCTGCAGCAGTTGCTGCTGCTGCTGCTGCAGCAACTGAAACGCAAGGGACGGGCAATGGATCGAAACAACTGCAGCAGCAGCAGCAGCAATATTGACAACACGTGCAGGGCAGCAGCAGCAGCTGCTGCAGCAGCAACAACATGGCCAGCAGCAGCAGCAGAGCCAACAGCAGCAGCAGCAGCAGCAGCAGCAGCAGCAGCAGCAGCAGCAGCAGCAGCAGCAGCAGACCAGCAGAGTGATGCAGCTGATGCCGATGAGCCAGAGCACAGGGTAGCTGTTGAATATCTCCNGCTGCAGACCAGCAGAGTGATGCAGCTGATGCCGATGAGCCAGAGCACAGGGTAGCTGTTGAATATCTCCTCATTTGCTTCTGCTGCAGCAGCAGCAGCAGCAGTAACAGCGCGATGCACTGTTGCTGCTGCTGCAGCAACTGCAGCAGACAACACACAGAAAGGCAGCAAACAAACACAGACAATCAGCAGCAGCAGCAAGCCGCTGCTGTCAGCGCCGCTGCTGCAGCTGCTGCTGTGCTGCTACTGCAGCAGCAGCAGCAGCAGCAGCAGCAGCAGCACGTGTCGTTACAGCTGCTGCAGCTGCTGTTGCTGTTCCAGCTGCAGCTGCAGCTGCTGTTGCAGCATCAGCAGCAGACACACCCGCTGCAGCACCAGCACCAGCACCACTAGTACCAGCAGCAGCAGCACCACCAGCAGCAGCACCAGCAGCAGCACCAGCAGCAGCAGCAGCAGCAGCAGCAGCTTTGCTGCTGACCATCGTATTGGTGTTCATATAGGATTGCTGCTGCTCCGTCCCGCAGCAGATGATATATACTTCTCTCCCCCGCCAGCCCCTCCACCCAGACAGGCACAGACAGCAGGTTTTGCTGCTGCTGCGCGAGACGAGCAGCAAACGCAGGACACTCCGCATCTGCAGCAGCAGCAGCAGCAGCAGCAGCAGCAGCAGCAGCAACAGCAGCAGCAGCAGCAACAGCAGCAGAAAGGGATGAAACACTAGCCCCGCAAATACGAATCCTCCAAAGCATCAAACAGCAACTCATACTGAGATAGCAGCAGCAGCAGCAGCTGTTGCTGCTGCTGCTGCTGCTGCTGCTGCGGTTGCTGTTGCTGCTGCTGTTGC